AGGGCTGGGCCTGGGCAGGGTAAGGGGTTGAGAGGTCAGGGCTGGACCATCCGTCCTCATGCCTCTGTGGCCTGCAGATCAAGGACCAGACAGAGGAAGCCCAATACTGCCAGCTGGTGCGTCAGCTGCTGGACGACCACAAAGATGTGGTGACCCTCTTAGCTGAGGGCCTACGTGAGAGCCGGAAGCACATAGAGGTCAGGGGCAGCACAGTGGTGGCCTGTTGGGGGGCCTGGGGAGGGCACAGCATTATTGAGGCCCCACTGTTTACAGGATGAGAAGCTTGTTCGCTACTTCTTGGACAAGACACTGACTTCCAGGCTTGGGATCCGCATGTTGGCCACACATCACCTGGCGCTGCATGAGGACAAGGTGGGGCGCTGGGACCTGAGACCCACCTGGGAATGTCAAGCGAGGCAGAGGGGACTAAGCCAGGGGCCCCCTTGGACTGGGGACCTGGGCTGAGGGCCTGGGGAGGGCCTTGGGGCTACTTCAGCAGTCCAGAGGTTGCAAGCATTTGGTGGCAAGGTGCAGGTCAGCTGCTAGTCCTGACCTTCTTTCTCCTGACAGCCTGACTTTGTCGGCATCATTTGCACTCGCCTCTCGCCAAAGAAGATTATTGAAAAGTGGGTGGACTTTGCCAGGTGAGGCTAGAGCAGCTAAAGCGGGGATGGGGGTGGGTGGGGGGGTCTTTGGGCAGGGAAGGCTTGGGTCTGAGCCCTGGCCTGGGGCATGGTCTACGGCAGGGTTTCTCAACTGTGGCACTATCAGCATTTTGGGTCAGACAATTCTGTTTTGTGAGGGGCTGTCCTGTGCTTGTTAGGATGTTTAGAAGGATCCTTGGCCTCTGCTCACTTGATGTCAGCAGTACTTCCCAGTTGTAACAAACAAAAATGTCTTTAGAAATTGCAAAATTTCCCTGGGGGGCATGGAAGAAGCATCTCCAGTTGAGAACCACTGGTCTAGGTCTGAACTCTTGCTCCTACACACAGACGCCTGTGTGAGCACAAGTACGGCAATGCCCCCCGCGTCCGCATCAACGGACATGTGGCTGCTCGATTCCCCTTCATCCCTATGCCCCTGGACTACATCCTGCCGGAGCTGCTCAAGAATGCCATGAGGTGGGCTGGCTGGTATGTTGAAAGACGACAGATAGGGACTGGGGTGAGGCTGGGATACCAACACCCACTACTGGTCTTTCCCCCTGTATAGAGCCACGATGGAGAGCCACCTAGACACTCCCTACAACGTCCCAGATGTGGTTATCACGATCGCCAACAACGATATTGATCTCGTCATCAGGTTTGCCCTGAGTGGGTGGACAGGGGTTGTTCCGACACTGTTTTTGACTTGCTGTATGAGCTCAAACCAGTACCTGCCCCACTCTGAGACTTGGTCCCGGGTCACACAATATACTCTGGTCCTGAGATTGCCATGAGCTGGGTAAGAATGAGTGCGGGGCCAGGTGCAGGCCCTAGGGCAAGCACGTCAAACTCAAAGGCTAACCCAAAGGCTAACCGGGCTTTGAAGTAAACAAGGCATGCGGGCGAGTTTGACATTAGCAACTAGGGCCCTAGGGCAGTGATGGCGAACCTTTTGAGCTCGGCGTGTCAGCATTTTGAAAAACCCTAACTTAACTCTGGTGCCGTGTCACATATAGAAATTTTTTGATATTTGCAACCATAGTAAAACAAAGACTTATATTTTTGATATTTATCTTATATATTTAAATGCCATTTAACAAAGAAAAATCAACCACAAAAATGAGTTCGCGTGTCACCTGACACGTGTGTCATAGGTTCGCCATCACTGCCCTAGGGCCTTGTCTTCCTTAGCAGCTGAGGGGCCCAGAATGGGGAAAGAGTCGGGAGTAAACAGTTGGTGACACTGGGCTGAGAAAGCCAAATCCTGTGAGAAGGTATAAGCAGTCAGTGGCCCAGGCAGAGGCGAGGGTAGAGAAATGAAGCTTATAAAAAACAAGGCCCAAGGCTCTAGGTGGACATCCCACCTTTGGCTAAAAGGGACAAGACGGCACTGTCTGCATGGGAGGTAGTGAGCCCCCCGCCAAGCTGAGGCAAGCTCCTATTATCCACATCCTGCCAGGATTTCAGACCGGGGCGGGGGAATCGCTCACAAGGACCTGGATCGGGTTATGGACTACCACTTCACGACAGCCGAGTCCAGCACCCAGGACCCCCGGATCAACCCACTCTTCGGTCACCTGGACATGCACAGTGGTGTCCAGTCAGGACCCATGCATGGGTGAGCCCCCACTTGGCCACGATGGAGGGGTGCGGGGGCCCTGGAGACTCAAGCCTCTGAAGCTCCTGTCCTGTCCCCTCCCTTCTCCCCCAGCTTTGGCTTCGGGCTGCCCACATCCCGGGCTTACGCGGAGTACCTTGGTGGTTCCCTTCGGCTGCAGTCCCTGCAGGGCATTGGCACGGATGTCTATCTGCGGCTCCGTCACATTGATGGTCGGGAGGAAAGCTTCCGCATCTGACCCTGCAGCCCTTGGCCTGCCCGCCTGCCCAGCCTGGGCCACACACCCTGCCAGGACCTTCTGGGCCAGACAGGGTCCACTGCGCTCCACACCCTGCTGCATCTGGGTCTTACGATGCCAAGCAGATGGACTTCTATGGAGCCGGACACCAGCCCTCCTCAACAGGGTCCACTGTTTCCCTGCCTCCAGCCCTTGGAGGGGAGGAAGTGGGGACCTCAGCACTGGCTTCATCTTTCTTGTTCCTGGGGAACCCCATTTTGACCTACTGTTATTAAAGTTCACAATCTGAATGCCCTCTTGGGCCCCATGTGGGGAGGGCAGGTGAGCTTGTTTCTGATCCCATTCGGGTTCCCTGGGCCCTTGGCTTCAACCTAGTTCATGTCCAGGCGCTTAACTGTCCAGACAGAATTTGCCCCAAGTCTCTTGCACTTTGACTTGGTGGGAGTGAGGGTGACTGACAGTTTGTACAAAGACCTTTCATTCATTTCATTTAACAAATGTTTCTGCTTCTCAGACAATATCGAAGGCCCAGGCTGGCCCAGCTTCAGGCTTCATTTCTGACTCTTGCCTTCCTGGCAGTCACAGGTTCTGGAGATGAAGGTCACCAGACTGGGCAACCTCCTGAGCCACCTGATTCCTGAGCCCAAGTAAGGTTAAAAATACCGTCCACCACCTGTGCCTGTTGCTGCCAAGGACAGGAACACACAAGATTGTGCCCTGGCAGGCTCCAGAGGACCATGGGGCCCTGGTAGGGAGATTGAAAGGAAAGGGTCCCATAGAGCAGGTGGGTCTCCCTGCCCATCTTGCCAGGGAAGGAGAAAGGCTTGGTGGGACTGCTGATGGAGGCGGGGAATGGAGGGGGCACAGGAAACCAGTGACTTGCCAGGCTGAAAGTCTGCTGGCTGCAGTGCAGGGGTGAGGCTGGAGAGGCAGGCGGCAGCAGCAGCTGCAGGACTCTGACTGTACAGCAGGGGTGGGGATGTCTGGCAGGGGCCGTACAAAGCCCAGAGCATTTGGTCTGGCCCTGCCAAGGCATTGGGGGTGAGTTAATTAAATGTTTGAGCAAATATAGCAGCTAATTTAAAATATATAAATTTTTATTGATTTCAGAAAGGAAAGGAGAGGGAGAGAGATAGAAACATTAATGAGAGAATCATCAATCGGCTGCCTCTTGCAGGCCCTACACTGGGAATCAAGCTGGAACCTGGCATGTGCCCTGACTGGGAATCGAACTGTGACCTCCTGGTTCAGAGGTGGACACTTAACCACTGAGCCACGCTGGCCGGGTGCAGGCTAATTTTTAAGTTGATAATTTTGTATGGCCCACTAATGATGTTAAGTGTATCCAAATGGCCCTCGGCAGAAAAAAGGTTCCCCACCCCCCCTGTCCAGCTAAGCAGGGGTCCATGGGTGTGTTTTAAGCTAGGAAAGTATGTATCATCAGGTTGGATTCCCTAGAAGCAGAACCTGAGAAGATTTGCATCCAAGTGATTTGTTGAGAAAACACTCCCAGAAGGGAGCGGGAAGCCTGAAAAGGAAGAGCAGGAGGCCAGGAAAGGATGTGATCTCAGGTAAAAGTCCAGAGCCAGTAAGTTGTGTCAGAGTTGGAGGCAAGAGAGCTAAGCCCCACAGACACTGGTTAATGTCTGCCGGGAGGTACCTGAAATAGTCCTCAGCTAGTTCAGGCAAAGCTCTTCTCTTAGCCAGAGGGGCAGTCTGTCAAATAAGAACCTCTGGTGCTGTAGTTTGAAAACACACAGAATGTAATTGGCACACATAAGCAACAAAGAGGCTCCAGGGGATCTGGGTGAAACTTCTATATAGGTTTTGGAGAAAAGTCAGATTTGCACATTAGAAGAGCCACTGGTGGTTGGTGGATAGGAGGGAGAACAGTGAGGAGATTGGTGGAGTGACCCTGATCAGGGATTTACAAAGCTTATGGTAATCATTAACTAGAAGGGATAGCATCCCTAATTGAAGATGTCAGGTGAAGTCAAAAGTGAGGCACCAGAACCCTGGGTAGATAGAATAACTATGTTGAAGATGGGGGAGTGAGAGAAGATGTTACGATTTTAATTTTTTATTTCCTTTCTCCTGTTTCTTTTTTTAAATGCTGCCAGACACCTGGCATTCATTGCCCTCCCCCAAACTCCATTTCCCTAAAGCCCAGTTACCAGCATTTACACTGCCAACCCCCACAAACACCTAACTCGGATATTTCTTGATCTGTAACCTGAGTCCCATTCTCTGGCCCTGAGCATGTCACCACTCTTAGAATTGTTTCCAAGTCCAACAGCCAAATTATAAGTCGAAGATTCAGAGAGTGGCCAAGAGGAATGTTTATTGAGCACCTACCCTGCCTGGCATTGTGCAGTGCACTTACTTTATATATATGAGAGGTAGATGAACACATGGTTTAACCTCTATTTAGTTATATGGTTTGTACAGTTATATATAGTTTAATCCTAACATTCTGAGAATGAACACTTGCACAACTTACCCGGAGGAGGGTCAGAACCCGGGATTCCTCTCGCTAAGCCCACCTCTCCATTATGCCCACTGCCTCTGCTGGTTGCTGTTCCGGGAACGTCTGGTTTGGGGGGCCTGGCCCATTTGGAAAGGCTGGATTCTGAGGGGTTTATCGGCGGTCCCGGGACACACTCCTCCAGCTCCCCCGCCCCTGTATCCTGCATCCATCCTGAACAAGCAAGGCCGTTTCTTCCATCTGCAAAAAGGGGTGAGCGGTCTAAGGCAGGCGGAAGCGGCGGCGCAGGAGTGGGTGTCAGGCCTCCAGCCCCAACTCGGGCCGCGGGGACAGCGAGAACAGCGCCCCCTCCAGCA